ACAATCCATTTGTGTAGTTCAGTAGTGCTCATAACTTAACTGCAAATCAATATCATATGGTTGTATCTGTTGTTATTCCTACCTAGAGTAGGCTCATTAAAATGAATAAAGCTTAAGTTAGACTAAAGTTGGATACAACCCCTGCCGTGACTGCGAAATGTTTTTAATTTGTTCAATTTTATTTATCCCTGTACAGGAGGGACTGTCTCTCCTAGGGAAGTGGGAACACATCCACAGTGATAGAACTATAACTTTCCAGAGGTGTTGTTAGGAGCAGCTCACTAAGTCTGGAGCCCCATATCTCTGGGACCTCATCTGCCCCACCATATTGTCCATGAGCACTTGCTGAAATAAAAGTACAGGGACCTTGATCATCTATGTTGCATTTGATTCCCCTGGATTACCTGGTATTTTGTCCACATGAGCTTCACCTGCTCCTCTCCCTTGAATCTTTCTGCCTGAGATTTTTAACCTTCACCCTAACCCTACAAATAAAAATGTCCTTAGGGAACATAATCCTTTAAAGGAATGTGTATAGCACACAAACACTTTAGAGTATATATAAATTAGTATATGAAAGTGTGTGTGTGTGTGTATCATGTGTGTCTTAGCTTCAGAGATCAGTATCTAGCACAGTCCCTGAAATTACTTTGCAGGGAGGGTTAACCGATTTTCAGTGTAACATCACTGGCACAGAATTAGAGCTGGTGCTAGTATGGTACACATTCATCAGATGTTGTTGCTGTTTGAAAAATCCCCAAGTGTAAGGTTATGTTTAGGATAAACTTACTTATTGTGGGCTTCTTAACACCCATCAAAGATCAAGTAAAGAGCTGTAGATATAGTTTATCCAAATGAGTTGACCTGACTTAGGCTCTCTGAAGTTCAGGGAAAGCAGCAATAAGAAACCAGTGACTAGCAGAACATCTGCCCTTGAGGACTTTATCCCTGATATTTATCAATGTCACTTCTTTAAAAAAACTTTTGCTTTCAGAATTGAAATGGAATTAAACTGATATGCAAAGTAATAAAGGAATTAATTATATGAAGGTATAGTTTTTGGATATTCCTGAACTAGGTGCAAGCTTTTGTGAAGTGTGCCCATGCACAGTTTCTCAAAAGTTATTTATTAAAATAACTTCATTAGAATAACATTTCACAAAAGTTATTTAATAGGTAGGGTGGTCTTATTGAATAATTTATTCGTATATGTTCATTCAAATAACTTACAAATAAGTTATTTATTGAAATCTTGAGCTCAGCTTTTACTTGTGTTTGTGGAAATGATTTATGTGTTGCTTTTTTTCAGTGAACTTGTATTAGACTTCAGATACATTAAAGAGTTACCTACTTTTTCTGTTATTTGCAGAAACAAAGAATACACATTTAGATGATGAAGACACAAATTCAAAAGACAATTCTAAAGATCATGACCAAATTGAGGGGTTTCTGTGATTCCCATTTGGAACTTAGACAAGACCAATAATCAGAAGGCACTGATTGGAATCAGACAAAACTGGTTGGAATTATTATAGTTAATATTTTTCTACTGAAATATCTAGGAATTTTGGCAGTTCACTGAATGTGGAAGGTATTCAAAATGCTCTCTTGAGAGTTTTTGCTGAACAAGTATCAGAAATTTTATGTAGTAGCATTTAGAAGTTCTTATCTCAATATTAGCATTTTTGTTCTGTGCTGTAGCAACTATCAGGGTAAAGGTGGCTGCTGTCCTAGTGTTGCTATTATTGCAACACTAGGGCTTTAACATTTTCACATGTTAAAGCTTACAAGAGTGAAAAATTTCCACTCTTGTACACATGGACATTTTACATGGAAATTTTTAAAATCACCACACAAAATGGGTCTATCATAATGTAATCCAAATATTTGCGGGAAGCAGAGAGCTCGCATTATATTGTTAAATTATGTAAGATTATATAAGATTTTGATAATTCAATGTAAAGAGTTGTTTATGGAAGTTTATTGACTTTACAGATCTAAAAGTATTTAACTAAGCATGCCATAGTTTTTTTTGAAAGTCTTGTGAATACTATCGTTGACAGCTACAGTAGTTCTTAAAAGGGATCAGGGATTTCATACAGTATTTTTGTTATCTGGAAAAACTACAGTTTCCAAACTTTACTTCAAGGCAATATGCAAATTTCCATTTCAGATTTTTTCTCCAAAGAGAATGCTATCTGTATATGCTTTTTCTCACACTTGCACACTGACAGTGTTCGTATGTTGTGGCAAAGTGCAAGCCCTCCCGGGATAGCTCTCAGAACTCCAGTTCCTTGGCAAAGGGGTTTCTTGACATGGCTGCCCTGTTTTATTTTGCTTGTTTTTTGTTTTGGCAGGGATATAAGCAGACATGAATATGTATATTTTGGAGTTCCCTGGGATATCCAGAGGACAACCAATAGGAAGTAGGAGACAACTCACAGGGTGAGTTGTGACATGAACCACTCTATTAACATTTGAAGTGGTCTTCTATGGAAGCCAGGAAGCATAATGCCATTTGTTTAGAAATGTTAAGGCCAAATGACATTGTAAAGCAGATAATGTGTGATAATAGCTATTAGTCCATTACAAAATGGTGTTGGAAAGGGAAATTTACAATGGAGAATTTTGTGTGTAGAAAGATGCTTAATGCCCATCTCTCATGCTGCTTGTGTTTTGAACTCTCTGCTACTTCTCCCCCCCCCCCCCCGATTTCCAGTCTGGATTTGAGCCAGTTGTAAAAGTGTTTTGAGGTGGAAGTGTTTCCATTTGTGGTGGGAAAGTGTCAATCTATTGTTACATGTAGATGTCTAGCATGGGAATGCCCCTTCTTTCTCTGTTTTTCTCTGATTATGCTGGGTGCCAGATTCACCCAACAAGAGGCAAACCATTCGTAGAATTTTTGTCATTAAGAGTACTTCCAACTTTACCTTTTAAAAACTTTTTTTTAAGATGGAAGATACAGGTACTTATACCTAATGACATTAACATATGAAAAATGCGAAAAGAATATGTCTCTGTGTTTGCACACAGTTGAAAATGCAGAT